CACGGGCCCAGCCGCTCCGCGGCATGTGGGATCTTCCTGGACCGGGGCACGAACCCGCATCCCCTGCATCGGCAGGCGGACTCTCAACCACTGCGCCACCAGGGAGGTCCCTCCCTTCCACCCTGACTGCATGCAGCGGTTCTGGCCTCTGCGCCCTTGGTGCCAGCACAGCCTGCTGCCCTGTCCCCCTCCCATCACCCACCCGGGGACTCCATGGCCGGTAGCTGAGGGGGACAGAGGGAGGCATGGGAGGAGGAGGTGTGAGGGAAGGGGCCTGCAATTGCAGACGCACTCAGTAGTGGTTGGACCACATGGGCAGTGATGAGACGCAGCAGGGGAGGAGGGTGCCCTAATCCCAGCACAGCCCCCGGACGGCGGAGGGGAGGGAGGGATAAAGTCCCACCGTGGGAGCCTCCTGCCTGGCCTTTCCCAAAGGAACTGGGGCTGCCGGCCAACATCAGTGCAGCCAGGAATGTGGGAGCCCCTGGCTGCGGAGGCTCAACCTGGGGAAGGCCCCATTGGTCACATGGTGGGTGGCAAGAGCAGGTGTGTGGGCCGCTCTGGCTGGGGGTCAGAGAGGTCAGACCCTGGCTGGAAGCCCTTTGAATGGTTGCCAGATGTACTGTCTAGCACTAAGTATGAAACGGGCAGGGAGACAGAGCCTGGGACCTCGCAGTGGTGCTGGCCCATGACTCTGACCTTGGCCCTGACCCAGCTCTTGGAAGCCTGGTAACTCTCCCTCCAAATGCCTGTCCTCTCTTATCCTCAGCATCTCTTGCCTGGACCACCACCTTCCCCACTGTACCCTTATGGCTACAGGGGGACCCACAGTTCATCCACTCAGCAAACACAGGCAGGAGGTGGCGCCTGCATCACGGACTATCTCTTGGGAGGGCAGCTTGATGCAGAAAGACAATGACCGTGGCACATGGGAAGTGGCAGGTGAGTTGGATTCACAGGGTGAAGACCAAGCATCTCTGTGCACCACCCCCAAGTCCTCAGCCTGAAAACGGCCCTCCCCATCCCAGAAACATCCCCTCCAGAGAGCCCCACTCTCGTTGGAGCTCACGCCCCACCAGGGATTCTCTTGCCCCTCCCCCTCCCCAGGCCCCTCTCCTGACCTCCCCACCAACCCCAGGCTTCTCCCAACTCTCCACCACCTCTGCCTCTCAGTCCCAGGTGCCTTGAGCACAGAGCCTGGGGCCCACCTGTCTGTGCTTGCAGCAGGGAGCCGGTGCACAGCAGAGGTCCCTGCGTTAGGAATTAAGACAGAGCAGGTCTGAGATCAGGGCAGTGTCTGGGTAGAGGTCAGGTTCTGCCTACCCAAGCGTGAGTTTTCCATGGCAACGACCACCCCTTCCTCCCCGGCCTGGCTCAGCTGCTCTGCACCCGCCCATCCCATGCCTGCCTCCTCTGTAAGCAGTGGTAATCCCATGTGGTTTTTACTCTGGTGTCCATGAATAGGAGAGAGAGGAAAGCAGGCCAGTCTTCCCAGGGCCTTGCATCCGCCCCGCCAGCGGGAGCAGCTCCCGGGCCGCCTGCTGGAAGCAGGCCAGCTTGCCATCCACTCCCATCGGCGCCCACCTTCACCGAGGCCTCCTGCTCAGGACAGCCTGGCTGTGGCTGCCCTGTGGCCGCACGCGGAATGCAGACCCCTGCCCCGTACGGCTCATGACATCCTCCTCTCTCCCCACGCTTGACCACACGTGGTCACCCAGCCCCACCCTAACGTGCCGTCTGACGTTTGGTCTGCCTGGCGCCTTCCAGAATCCTCCCCACACCCGCAGACTGCAACAAGGCCTGTCAGCTCTCTGTCCTGAGAGCCTTTGGGATTCACCCCGTTCCCCCCGCTCCCCCCACCCAATCCCCCTCCCCATCCCTGTCAGCCTGGTGGTTGAATGTTGCAGGCGCTGCCTCCCTGGCACCCTGCCTGCTCAGAGCAGTGGTAGCCAAGGGACATTTTTGGAGGCAGTTCTGTGTGTCGTTCCCCTGCCGTAAAGTCCAGACTCTTTGCGGGGGATTCAAGGCCCCTCTTTTCTGGCGCCTGCCAGTCTCTCTTGGGGCCGGGCCCCCCACTGGAGCTCTGCTGGGCTCCCCAAACCCACAGGCCGTCTCCTGCCCCCAGGCCTTGCACATGCTGCGCCCGCCACCTGGATGCTTTCTCCCCACAGTTGATCTCTGGTGGTGGCTGTCTGTGGAGATGTCTCTGATCCTTTCTCCCAACTCTGGTCACTTCTTCCTCTGCGATCCCATACCTCCCTGTGGTGCTTGACATAATGAGTATCACATTCATTATCCCTCTCTGATTGCAGGGCTGTCTCCCTGTGTTGGGTTGGGTTTCCCAGAAGCACAGCTGGAAATAGGGATTCAGGAACATGAGATTTATGAAGGGAGGCCTCCCAGGAGAAATGCATATGGGAGGGAGGGAGGGAGGGAGGGAAGCAGGAGAGGGAAGGGGCAGAGCAAGAAGGGGATCCCAGGTGGAGTCTAGATGTGGCCTGATTGGGGGCCAGGGGTGCTCTGGGATATAACCACACGGCTGGACTGTCCCCTTGAGGTGAGGAGGCCAGCCCGTCATATCCCTGTATCAGACAGTCACTGGCTGTGGGATGGGAGGGTTTGGAACTTCCCAGGGGAGGCGGCACTCATTAGCCAATAGCAATCTGCAGGAGGGGCAGCTGTGGGCATTAGGCATTAGCAATGGGCGTGGGGGGTGGGGATTGTGAGTGCTATGGCCAGGGACAGGGGGTCTGGCAGGGTACCACCAGCATCCACCACACCCCCTGTCAAGTGGGACCTCTCACAGATTCTGAATGAACGAGGAGTATGTGGATTCTTGACCCATCCAACCCTGACCTTCCCCAAGCCCACAGCTGTGATGTTGTCCTTGGAGGTCCTGCATTTCAGTGAGTGAAAGGTGTCTCTTATGTGCCTGGCTGTGCAGATGGGGCCTTTAGCCAATGTTCTCAATTAGTCCTCGTAGTCGACCATTTTACAGATGAGAAGACAGAGGCTCAGAGGGGTGAAGTGCCTCCATGAAGGTCACGGGACTTGTGATCGGAGGTCTGATTGACTCCCCGTCTGGTTCCTTCCATCAGTGTGTGAAAGGCCTCAGAGCTGAGCCCCTCCTGCCCACCATAGAGACTAGTCCCGGGTCATCTCTCAGCCCCACAGCCTGGCTCAGCTAAACCCAGGATCCCCAAGGACCACATCTGGCATTTGCAATGGTCCGGAGGCCCACACATGTATTTTGCATATTATTTGCATAATGATCGCATCTGGTTTGCATGTGTCCATGCTGAGGACCCGTCAGCACTGCACAATTTCTTTTTAAAAGAAGATGTTGGGGGTAGGAATTTAGTAATTTATTTATTTATTTTTGCTGTGTTGGGCCTTCGTTTCTGTGCGAGGGCATTCTCTAGTTGTGGCAAGCGGGGACCACTCTTCATCGCCGTGCGCGGGCCTCTGACTATCGCGGCCTCTCTTGTTGCGGAGCACGGGCTCCAGACGCACAGGCTCAGTAGTTGTGGCTCATGGGCCTAGTTGCTCCGCGGCATATGGGATCCTCCCAGACCAGGGCTCGAACCCGTGTCCCCTGCATTAGCAGGCAGATTCTCAACCACTGCACCACCAGGGAAGCCCAGCTGCACAATTTTTAAGTTGCTTCTAAGCAACTCTCATAAGTCCATCACCCGGGCTTTACTGAGTCCAATTTCCCTGATTTCTGGACTCTCTCTCAGGCCCTCACCTTGGGGCTGCATAACTACCCACTCCAGGTCCCAGAGAGGCCATGCTTCTGCCCAGCTGGAAGGGGTCACTCCAAACTCCTGCTCTGAAACGCATGTGGATTTGACAGTAACCTCTTTTGAAGGTGTGGGTGTAATCAAAATGGCAGCTGGGCTTTGAGCATGCTAATGTTTATGTTGAGGAGAGAGTGGGCCCGGGTAGAGCCTTGCTACACAGCACTTCCAAAGGTGCCTCACGTGCAGGAAGGCTGAGCTGCACAGGTGGCTTGGGGAAGGGGGAGGCGTGCTTCTCCCAGTGGCAGGGGCTCATCTGCGATGGGAAGGGCTTGTGCCAGAAAGTCAGCAGTTTCAGTGCTATTTCTGTCTCTTTCAGGGGAGCTACATTCCAGAAAATTTTGTGAGGCTCTCAATGATCTTATGTGGTGGGGCCTCAATGAAAAAGGAGAGCACATCCTGAGGCAGGTGGATGGAGCCCGGAGAGGGGAGAGGAACCGCCTCGGATTCTGAGAAGTGCATGGAGGCAGGCAGTGGGATGCCAGGCTCCACAGGAGCTATGTGTGAACTCACCATCTGTCTCACTGCAGCTTCCTGGGATGCAGTCTCTTGTCTTCTCTGCCCTTAGGACACAGTTCTTCCTTCTGCCCCAGGGAGGCTGTGGAAGAAGGAAGGAAGCTCCAGAGTCTGGCAGAGGTGCCCACTTACGATCGCCCCCCTGAACCCTAAATGCAAGACTACACTCATTCCTGTCCAGGTTTATCTTGTCATCCTGATGGCATCCTCCATTTTTTTCCTGAAGAGAGAGGTGGCACATCTGTCACCAGTGGCTAATGAAAGTTGGGAAAATCTGCTTCTGCACGTGTCTGGAAGTGGACTGGGGTAGACAGGATGTGTCTGGATATGGCTGTGCACGTCCCTGGGAACAGAAAGCCTGATCCTGTGTGTGGCCCCTCAGCCCACCTCCATCCAGGTGCGGAAACTCCAGCCCGAGTGGGGGGAGGACACGACCATCTGTCTTCCTCCCTTGCCTCTGGCCTCCCTAGGTTTCCTGTCTGGCAGATGCAAAGTAGCCTCATCATATGCGGGGGGAGGGGGGGAACCTCAGCCGCTGGCTGGATACAGCCAAGACCCCAAGCATCTCCTCCACCCATGTCCTCCTCCCCTACCAGGATGTGGCCCCAGTGCTGGCTCCCGAAACTGTTCCAATTAGAGAGGGAGCATGGTGTTTGATGTCAACCACCTGGGGAAGGGGGAAGCGGGGGTCCATCTGTCCTTTCGGCCCTTTGTTATGTGGGCTTTTCCAAGTTCAGACAAGGCCCAGCCTCCTCCCTCTGAGCTGTGGGTCCCACATCTGGGTTGAGGAAGGGAGTGAGAGGAAGGGGTGGGACCCCTTGGAAAAGGATCAGAGCTCTGGGGCAGGGAGGTGGGGAGTTTTTTCCAGAGCTGGATGGGCAGTGCTGCCAGGCGGTCAGAACCCAGCCTAGGGGGAAGAGCCAGGCTCCGCTCATCTTCCACTCAGATGTCTCTCACTTTCTGAGCTACAAGATCAAGATCATGTTATGCATACTGTGTATCTTGCCCAGCGAGATGGACGTCTTCGTTAAAGTCTGGAGCACATTGGGTGGATTTGTGGTGGAGGATGAAGACTGTCTTAGGCATCATTTGCTGGGATCAGAAACCCACTGGAGCTGGCTCAAGTGAAGTGGGTTATTGGAGGCAGACAGAGGAAGCCAGTCACCAAATGGCAACTCACCGTACTTCTCCCTGAGTACATAGCCCCTCCACTCTGCCCCATTCTCCTCCTGCAAGCTCTCTTCCTCAGCTTCCGCATAACTCCCGCGGAGCTATGGCTACAGGGTGCCCTGGCTTGTCCTCTCACTACCCCTCAGGGACCCTGTAGTGGGTTGAATGGCGTTCCCGCAAAATTCATGTCCACCTAGAACCTTAGAATAGGACCTTATTTGGAAATAGGGTCTCTGAAGATGTAATTACTTAAGATGAGGTCAGACTGGATTAGACTGGGACCTAAATTCAATGACAGGTGACCTCGTAGGAGGAGAGGACCCAGAGACACAGAGAGATGGGGGCCTTGTGAGGAAGGCCATGCAGAGACAAGAGAGAAGGCCACGTAAAGACAGAAACAGACATTGGGAGATGCAGCTACAAGCCAAAGAGTGCCAAGGATGCCAGAAACCACCAGAAGCTGCAAGAGACCAGGAAGGAATCTTCCCTGTGGCCCTGCTGACACCTTGATTTCAGACTTCTAGCCTCTAGGATTGTGGAAGAATAAATTTCTGTTGTTTGAAGCCACTATATTTGTAGTAATTTGTTACAGCAGCCCTAGGAAACAAATAGAGTCTCCACCTGGAAGCCGGATCGCCCTCAGCCTCTGCGTTTCAATTTCAAAACCCAGGAGAGAGAACAATTGGCCTGCTTGGCTCAGGTGTGCGCCGGCCTCACCCCTGCTCCAAGATCCGCAAGCCAGCACGGCTGGGAGAGGGCAGGGGTGCAGATGTGGGCTTCAGACCTGCCCTAGTCCAGCACCCCTGATAGCATCGCTTTCCCCAAAGGGTGTGAATTCACATCTCAAAGTCCGGTTGGAGAGAGGCCTCTCCAGGTGTGCCTCAGAGTTCTGTGCTTTCTGCACACCTGTCTTTACTTGGGGAAAGACCCAGGTGGCTGTGATCATCTGTGTGGATAAGATCAAGCCAGGAAGAAGCGGCAGTCTGTTGGAGGACAGAAGCAGGATTCGAAAGGCTTTTTGCAGCTTAGAAAGCCAACAAGATGACATTGAATGAGGATGGCTGTAAAGGTCAACTCTTGGGTTCCAAGAGTCAGTTTCACAAGGGAAATATGGAGGAAGCCTGACTTAACAGCAACTCCTTGTGAGAAAGACCTAAAGGTTTTCTTTGACCAGACGCTGAAAATGGGCCAGTGCTGCAGTCCAGCCTGCTAAGAGCTTTAGTTGCACAAGGAGAAGCAGAGCACCTTTGGCGGGGCTGGAGGGGTGACAGGCGTTCAGGACTCCGTGCAGCCAGAGACCTGAGAGAGACAGAGATAAGATGCACTCCACCAGGAAACCAGAAGGACAGCCTGGCCACCAGACGGATTGCGAAGGGTTCTCGAGCACAGAGGGGTTAAGTTGTCCGGGGAGGGGTAGGCAGAGTTATCAGATGTCCTGGGCACCCTGGGACAATGACGCTGCGGGGAGGCAGAGCTAGCCAACAGGGATGATCTGGGGCCTATTCCAAGGAAGTGGCTGCGAAGGTGTTGCTGGCCCGTCCCCAAACACGGTCATCTCAGCTTCAGAGCCCTGGACCGCGGTTCCCGGGCGCACACGGGTTTTTAAGAGCAGTGTGTCCAGCGGGTGGGCGTTCTTAGACGGCCCCGCGTCCAGGCCGGCCCCAGGGTTCTGGCTCTGCTTCTCGCCCGGGTGCACGCGGGAGACAGTGGCGGATGGGTGATGGGTGTGTTTGGGGGGCCTCCCGGGGTGCGACAGCCTGCGCCCCAGCCACTTAGGGGCTGCTCTCTTCTTAACCTCTCGCTCGCGGGCGGCCCCTCGGGCGTCAGCTCGGAGCTGGGGCGGGGGGCCGGCGGCGGAGAGGGGGCCGGCGGAGGAGAGCGACGCGGCCCCAAGTTTATGCTAATCAGCGCAGAGCCCGCCTCCCGCCTCCCCTCGGCGGCCCCAGGCGCGAGCAGCGCCGGCCACTCGGCGGGACGCAGCCGCCGCGAAGCGCCAGGCGGCCGGGCCAGCGAGCTCCGGGGTCCGCGACCGGCGGCGGGACCCGGGCGGGCGAGCGGCGGAGCGGCGGGCGCACACCCGGCGGGGACCCGCGCGGGGCCAGGTGGAGACCCGGGGGCCGCGATGGGTCGCCGCCGCCTGCCGGTCTGGCTGTGCGCCGTCGCGGCGCTTCTCTCGGGGGCGCAGGCCAAGGGCACCCCGCTCCTCGCGCGGCCCGCGCCGCCCGGTGCCTCCCGCTACAGCCTCTACACGACGGGATGGCGCCCGCGGCTGCGCCCGGGGCCGCACAAGTAAGAGCGGGCCGCTCCGCGGGCAGGAAGCGGGAGGGATGGGCCCGGGCGAGGCTCCCACCTGCCCCGGGCGCGCGCGGGCGCCCCGGGCACCCCAGGACGAGCCCCCGCCCGGGCGGGCGCCCCACGCTCCGGGGGCCTGCGAGGCTGGCGAAGGAAAAGAAGCCGAGGGGGCCTGGCGCGGCGGCTGGGGTACTGGCAGTGCCCGCGGAAACCTTTCCAGCGAAGTAACATTTTCCAGCTGCTCTGTGTGCAGACTCCGGGCGCAGTGGACCAGGTGGAGGGAGAGGAGGGAGGGCGGGCGGTCCGCGACGCGGAGCACGCGGGGCCACCCCCATCCCGTGCCAGGGCCTCTCATCTCTCCCCTGCCCTGCCAGGTAGGAGATGGAGGCCGTGCACCCGGCGGCTCGACCCCTCCCGTGCTCAGCCTGGACCCCTGCGACCCTTTGGGAGGCCCAACGTGGCTGGGCGGCAGAGCTGGTGGGGGCTCCTGGGTCCTGGGCCCGTGTTGTGGCTCCAGAGCCCAATAGCAGTCCACAGGTGGTCGGCTTATGCCAGGCAGCAGCCTCCCTAGCCCTTGTGTCCTCCCCTGCCTCAGCTTCTGGTCTTTAGTAGCTTCAGGTGAGTTAGGGCCTCTGCCTGGGGTGCTAGCTGAATGTGAACTCTAGCTGAGTTTGAGAGGTATTATAGGAGGAGTGTACCCAGCCCATGGCTGACACTCAGTAGGCCTGGGCACATCAGAGAAGGCTTCCTGGAGGAGGTGGTACAAAAAGTGATCTGAAAGGGAGGAACCAGAAGCAAAGGCAGGAGCGGGAAAACTACAGGGTGGGAGTCAGTCGGGAGGAAAGATGAGAAGTGTGGTCTCAAAGGCAGTATGTTGGGATCTCAGAAGCTTCAATGCCGAGATGAGGAGTTGAGAGCCAGTGAAGGAGTTGGAGGAGGGTGGGGAGTGTGGCAAGGCTCTTGAGGGGGATCCAGGGTGGGCCTCTTCCCCAGGCAGGGAGGCAGCTGCACTGGGCTCCTGGTTCAGTACAGCACTTACTTAGCCCAGTGACCAGCCCACTGGCGAGGCTGGGATTGGAGAGACCAGCAGTGGGGCAGGACCCCAGGCCAAGGGCCCTGGATCCCAGGAACAAGAATAAGGGGCAGAGGAGAGATGGGAGTCTGGTCTCCTTCCTAGGCCCACAGCTGGGGGAGGGGAGGAGTAGAAGCCTCAGTGGGCCTGGCACAGGCCAGATATTCCAAGGATGCCATCTCCCCCTGCAGGGCCCTCTGTGCCTACATTGTACACAGGAATGTGACCTGTGTCCTACAGGAGGGAGCGGATAACTACATAAAGGCTGAATACCGGCAGTGTGGATGGGGGCCCAAGTGCCCCGGGACAGTCACGTGAGTGCACCCCCATCCCACCGACTCAGGATCCATGGGCATAAGCCCCAGGCCTGCCTTCAGCTGAGGGTAGCAGCCAGCTCCACAAGAGTTATAACTCCTTGGACTCCAAAGAGCCTACCCCTGCCCCAACACAGGCCATTTGGAGGGGGCTGGCGGGGGGCCAGGTCAGGCTTGGTTGGAGCCCCCAAGGGGACCCAGGGGAGGGCTCCCAGGGGAGAAGCAGTGCAAGGCAAGGAAGAAGCAGCAGAGGGGGGGGGGGGGGGGGGGGGGGGGGGCTGGGGACAGGGGAGAGCAGAGGATCAACACCAGCAATGGTTGATCCCTGGGTAGACCCAGGGAGGGTTGTGGTGACCGTGGAGAAGGCAGGCCAAGGGTGAGAGGAGGGAAGCCAGACTTCTGGGGCTTCAGCCAGACAGGTGGGCTGTGAGGACGTGTTGCATGCAGGTGTGATGTACTTGGAGATGTTCAAACATGTGTCTGAAAACAGACCTGTTTATTCGCATGTGTCAGTGGGTAAACAGGTACACGGCTGAACAGGGGAGAGTACACATGGTGAGCTCTGCCGTGCACCCCTGGGCCTTCCCCGCTGTGCTCAAAATCAGAGGTGCCATTCCGCCAGTTTCCAGGACCAGAGCTGAATTCCCAGAGTAGGCCAGGAAGGAGGGGAAAGAACTAAGTGGCCCCCAGGTAGGGAGTGGCCCCCAGGCAGTGTGAAGGGCTGCCTGCCCCAGCTCCAGTGCTGTACCCCTCATCCACCCAGAGGGAGGGGCTGGGGTTTTGTCAAAAATTTTCAAGGTACCCCCAAAGCCAGAGTGGAATTTCTGATGGCAGTCTGAGCCACAGGGTGTCCAAGTGGTCTTGGGAGTCTTGAGGCTAAATTCCCACTAGCCTTTCCCCAAGCAAACAAGACGGGGTAGGGCTTCTACCTGCCCCCTCCCCTAACGCATCTCTGAGCCTCTGCAAGGCCTGCTTCCACCCCACCGCCTGTCACCTTAAGCACAGAAGAAGGAAAAATGCTGGTGGTTTAGTGAAGCTGGGAGACATCCAGACCTTCTGCCAGTGTCCGGAGTGGCCCTGGACCCCAGCCAGGGGGCAAGGTCACTCGCCAGGAGGCAGGAGCCTCAGCGCACAGGTACAGAGCCCTGCCCTCTGCCCGCCCCTGGCCCAGGTACCGCACAGTGCTCAGACCCAAATACAAGGTGGGCTACAAGACAGTGACCGACCTCGCCTGGCGTTGCTGCCCTGGCCTCGCTGGAGAAGGCTGCCCCGAGCATCTCACGGACCACGCGGCCACCCCACCTCAGCCGGAGCCTGAGCCCCAGGTTCCCTCGGGGCAGGTGGGCCCAGGCCCCAGGCCCCTTCCTTCTAGCAGAACAGCCTCTAGCCCCCACGGTGAGTCTGCCCATGGAGACCCTCGCCAAGGTGATCGGTTTCTGGGGACTGACACAAGCTGGCTGAGCCCGATCAGGGCTGGGGAGGGTGCATCTCGTGTTGGACGTGAGGGTGAGCCCCTAGAGCCCCCTCCCACAGCTGGAAGAACCATACCCAGCAAGGTTGGCTCAGACCAGAAAACCTCTCGGGTGGCCCGGCAACAGGACAAGCCGAGAGAGCCAGGCCAGTGATGACCCTGGGGTTCTCTCCTCCTCTTTCCCAGGAAGGAAAGGCCCAGGGCTGTTTGGTGAACGGCTGGAACGCCTGGAGGGTGATGTCCAGCGCCTGGCACAAGCATATGGTACCCTCAGTGGCCTGGTGGCCAGCCACGAAGACCCCAACAGGGTGACTGGTGGCCCCAACGCTCCTGCTGCCCCTGTGGGCTTTGGGGTAATCCCCGAGGGGTTTGTGAACCCCAGAGACAGAGCTGGAGGAGCACTCACTCCTCCTCTGGATGAGATCCTGAGCAAGGTGACAGAGGTGAGCAACACACTCCGGACCAAGGTGCAACTGCTGGACGAGGTGCATGGACTGGCCCTCGGCCATGAGGCTCACCTGCAGCGGCTGCGGGAGAGCCCCCCATCTCCGCTCACCTCCCTGGCGCTGCTGGACGAGTATGTGGACCGACGGCTGCACCGACTCTGGGGGAACCTGCTGGATGGCTTCGAGCAGAAGCTGCAGGGTGTCCAGAATGCGTGCGACCTACAGGTGCAGGAGGTGCGGCAGCAGTTCGAGGAGGGCCGGGCGGCCAGCCGGAGGCTGCACCAGAGCCTGGATGGCCGGGAGCTGGCCCTGCGCCGGGAGCTCTCACAGCTGGGTACCCGGCTGCAGGGCTTGGGCGTGGCTGGCAGAGGCAGCTGCTGTGGCCAGCTGGCCTTGATCAGTACCCGCGTGGACAGCCTCGAGAGGAAGCTGCAGGCAGTGACCGAGGCCCAAAGGGGCCACAGCCCCCCCGACGGGAATGACCTCACACGGCTCTCTGCTGCCATGCTCGAGGGGGGCGTGGATGGGCTGCTGGAGGGCTTGGAGACCGTCAACAGCACAGAGGGTGGAGCCAGGGGCTGCTGTCTGGGGATGCAGGAGGGGGGCTGGGGTGTGCGTGGCTTCCACACCACGCTGGAAGAGCGCGTGCAGAGGCTGGAGGAACGCCTGCTGACGCTGGCTGGGGAGCCGAGCCACGATAGCGCTCCTGCAGGCAGATCGGCTCGGCCCCTCGTGCAGACGGAGCTGGCGGTGCTGGAACAACGGCTGGTTTCACTGGAGGCCTCGTGTACCCCTAGGACCACCCTAGCCATCCTGGACAATCTCGTGGCCGAAGTGAAGGCCTGGCAGAGCCGGAGCGAGGCCCTCCTACGCCAGGTGGCCAGCCATGCGGCCCTGCTCCAGAAGCTCAATGGCACCGTGGCTGAGGTCCAGGGGCAGCTGGCAGAAGCAGCGGGCAGCTCCCTCCAAGGCGAGATCACCCTGCTCAAGGTCAATCTGAACTCTGTGAGCAAGTCGCTCACGGGCCTCAGTGACTCTGTCAGCCAGTATTCTGATGCCCTCTTGGCCGCCAACACATCCCTGGATGAGCGGGAACGCAAGGTGGAGGCTGAGGTCCACTCCATCCAGGAGCAGGTCAGCAGCCAAGGCTCGTGGCTTCAGGCCGGACACAGGCAGGTCCTGAGCCTGCGGGGGCAGCTGGAGCAACTCAAGGCCGGCGTGGCCAGTGTGGCTGGCAGGCTGAGCCGCTGCCAGGACACAGCCCAGGAACTGCAGCTTGCGGTGGGTCACTTTGACCAGAGGGTGGCGCAAGTGGAAGGTACCTGTGGGAGGCTGGGCCTGCTGGCTGCGGGCCTGGACAGCTTGGCGGCTGAGTCCCTTGGGCCCAGGGAGGGCCTGTGGGACCACGTGGACCAGCTGAACCGCACGCTGGCCCAGCACGCAAAGGACATTGCCCGCCTCCGGGATGACCTGCTGGACTGCCGGGCCCAGCTGGCCGAGCAGGTCCGGGCAGGGCAGGCCGACTAGGTGGGCTGGACAGGCCAACCCCCAGATCCCGCCAACCCTGGGGACTCTCCCCCAGAGCCCAGCCTTGCCTAGCAGTGCCTCCCAGCCTCCCCTGGCCAGCGCGGATGCCATTTCAGAGGGCCTTGAAGGAACAGTGTGGGTCCGGCTCCACCTGACTGCCCAGGCACCAACATCCACGCTTGGTGCTGCACCAACTGGGCAATTCGGGACTGCGGTCAAGGCCAGTACGTCATGCCTGAAGGCCGGGGTGGCCCCAAGAGACCGCACCATCCACGGTCTGCAAATCGCTCTTCTGCAGACACACCGGTTAGCATCTGCACAGGCCTTCAGGAACGTTCTCAGACAGCAGTCTCTCCGCATCTCCCTTTGCCCGTGGACAGCAGCTCCAAGCCCTTAGAGGCTTCTCAGCCACCTGGGCTTGGTTTCTTCAGGAAGGTCGTGCCCACTGGCACTGTCCTCCCACCTGGCAGCTTCAAGGATGCTGTTCCTGAACTAAGGACCAGAGGTTTCCACCACCCTACAGGTCCTTCAGGACTGAACGGAAACACAAGGACTCAGTGGAGAGTTCTCTTTATTCCTTTTGATTGTCTCCCAAGGTGAGGGCTTAGGCAGCCGTGGATTCCCAGAGGAAAGGATGGGGTCCAAGTGATCTGTTTGGAGACGCCTCCCACTGTAATTTATCCTTTTCATTCCCCTCCCCAAAGATGTTTTTGGGGTACTCTGGTCCCCACGTGATCCTCTCCTTCCCACTTGGAGGAGAATCTCCCTCCACCCCAGGTTAGGGCCTCTCTCCAAAGGGTGGCCCTCATGTACATCATGGCCTGAATGAGGCCAGACCCTGGGCAGGAGGCCACAGCTGGAGGAAAAGGGCTCCAGGCCTAGTTTCCAACATCCTTGGAAAACCCCAGCCCTGCCCGGATGTTCACAAGGTGGTGAGAAATTCAGGTATGAAAATATGAGGACACAAGCGTTCGTCTGGCCTCCGTACGCCCCAGAGGCCCATCCCTGCTGAGGTTCCCAGCCTCAGTTTCCCTACAGCAGCTCGGGCCCTTCCATGGTGTTTTGCAGGTCCCTGCAGCCCCACCTTCTGGGTTCCTGACATTTGGTGTTCTGCCCCCCACTTTGGTGCCGTTGGGGGAGGGCAGGCCTGGATTAAAGCTTTTAGCCTGTCTAAAGGAAATTTCTTCCCCAAAGGCAGTAGGCGGGAAGGCTGCAGTGGGGTGTCAGCCCTGCTCCTTGGGCAGAAGCTCACTCAGCAGCTGTGTGGGCAGTGAAATGACTGGCAAAGGCTGGGGGAGGCCAGGCACCTGCCCTGGCAGGGTTTGGGGCTGTGTCCTCAGTAGAGGTGTGGGGAGGGGCAGGGATGGCAGCTGGGTATGTACTAAGCCAAGTGGGAGCCACACCTCCTCAGCCCTGGCACTGCCCTGGGATCCCCCCTTCCCAGATGTTGGAGGGGGCCTAGAGTATCTGGGGTTGGGATGTGCTGAGATAATCAGGGCACCAGCGTGGGAGAGCAGTGATGTCTGGCTCTAGAGCTATGGGAAGGGGCCAGGGCTATGTAGGGTCTAGCTTCAGAGGGTATGGTCCAGGCTCCCCAAAGTGGGTCGGGGGAAAATTTCTTCCCTGATTGTTGGCTGCCACCAACCCTTTCCTGGGCTTACAGGTCTCAAACCTCATAGGGGCTTCTTTCTTGTCTCTGTCCTATCACGAGTTGAGGCAGGGTCCCAGGGTGACAGGGACAGATATCAAGGGTATGGAGAACGCTGCAAGGACCCAGTCACTTAATGGCTACAGGGCAGGGCCATGCTGAGGCCTGTAGCATGGCTCAGCTGGCAAAGGCAGGGGACAGGAGAGGCCACAACTAGCCCGCAGCCCCCTCCTCCCCTTCAGTGGGTTGGCCCTGCAGCATCCAACTTCCAACCCCCATGCCCTGGGACACACAGTCCTGGGGAGCAGCCAGGGCTCGTTCAGGCCAAGGTGTCGAGGTCCACAGGGGCCAGTGGCTCCCGCCAGTAGCAGAAGTTGCTGTATTCGGGGCTGGCCAAGTCTGTGCTGGGGCCACGGGCCACAGGTGGGAAGAAGAGTTCAGCCACCTCACCGAGCCGTTCGTACCTACGGGCAGGAGGCGCTGGAGTGAGCCTCAGCCGCTGCCGGGCTTCAGCCCCATCACAGCAGGTGGAGGGGGTCCTTCCCGGGAGCCCTGGACCGGGGAGGGGGTCCCTGGCGGGGGCGGGGTGGCGTGGCACTGGGTCCCAGGGAGAGGCTGGGCTGTGGAGGCACGTGGCAGGGTTTGGCCTCACGTGGACTTGTGATTCTTCATGAGCTCCTGGCTGAGTTCTCCTCGGGGGTTGACTGTGAAGATGTGGGATGTAGGCAGGCCAACCTGTCGGTAGGCAGTGACATCCTACAGGAGACAAGGAGGGGTCGGTGGGCTGAGAGGTGTGGAGAAGGTGGCTCAGGCCCCCCGCCCCCGCCGTGGAGGGGACACTCACATTGGGCCTGTTCCCAAAGGCGGCATAGAAGGGCTGTTTCTGGGGCAGAAAGAGCTGCTGGATGTCACTCAGGCAGGCAATCTTGAACACCTCTGGCTTCTTCTCAATCACCTCCCTGCGGCAGTCGGGGCCATGGGCAGGGAAGGGGTTAGCGACCAGAGGATGGCAGGGTGAGGTGACAGTGCTGGTGACAGGGTCTGACCCAGTGGACACCTGAGCGAGGTCTGATGCTGGCCCAGCCTGGGCTGTGCAGGGCTGGCAGTGGGCCTGTGCAACCCCCTGCTGGGCTGTGGGCTCACGTCCCATGGGGAGGTTACCTGTGCAGGGCGGTTACCTGTGCAGGGCAGAGAAGAGGCTGCTGGGAGACAGCAGGATGGGGCCCTCAGGGAGGCCACAGCCCCGCTCGCTCACCCACTGCAGGTAGCCCTTGGTGAGGTCAGCCATGCCGATGGCCCGTGCCGAGCAGTACAGGAACTTGTACCCATTTCTGGGGGCGGGACAAAGGGGTAGCACAGAGCTGTCAAGAGACCAGCCATCCCCATCTCGCCATCATCCCCATCTCGCCAACCCTGGAGCCTCTGCAAGGAGGGGACTTAAGAGAAGAGCTGAGCCAGGGCTGAGAGGTAGAAGAAGCGTGCACAGAGTCCTGAGGCCCAGGTGGACCAGGATAGGTGAGGACTTGGGCAAGTCTGTAGGCTTTGCCTACGGCAGGAAGGCCAGCAGCTAGACTCAGAGCCCGACCGCAGCCCCAAGAGGCAAGTGTTTCACAGGAGAACTGAGGACCAGTAGGTCTCAGTACTCCAGGGACCTGCCCTGGTCTCCTTCCCTGTGGGTCCCCAAGCCTGGCTTCCTGGGGCTGAGGCCAGGCCATTCCTCCCTCCCTGGGGTCCCACCCCAGCCCAGTCCAGGCACTCACAGGTGGATTTTGTGGTAGAGACTAGTGATGCCCTGATGTGTCCAGTCTTTCCCCAGCTGGGGCAGAATGTGGCCCAGGACATCCGACCTAGACCCAGAGTGATGGTCACACCAAGGCAGCCCCACGTGGCCCTCCTGCTCTGTGGGTGTGGCCCCGCCCCCATCCCAGGATGGCCCATCGGGAGGGGAGGGCCTCTCTCCCTGTCCCCCCTCCCCCAGCACAGAGGGAGGCGAGTCCCCAGGCCTTCCCTCTCCCCCTCTACAGCCGACCGGGTCTCACTTGGTGATGGTGCCATCAATGTCTGAGATGATCACCCTGTCGTCCCATTTCCACAGGTAGATGGTGGCCCTACAGCGGCAGGTGCCCTGGTACTGGGTGGTCACGCTGAAGACCACCTTGTTGGCACCTTCTTGCAGGTTCAGGCGCCGCTGAGGCCAGGCAAGGGGGGGAACTGTGGCTGCCGCAGCTGGACGCTGTCCACCCACCGCCATCCCCCCCAGAACTGTGGCCTTCCATCTCCATGGGCCTCTCTTCCTCCTGTTCCTCCCAACTCAAGAACCTTGCTGAGCTCATCAGAGACAGCCATGTAGGCAGAAGGTGGCTCAAGGAGGAAGTGGGGGGTGCTGGCGGGGCCTGCAAAGCTCCAGGTACAGGAGCTTTGAGATGAGGCTCACGGGCCAAGCCTGGCCCATGACCCCGTCCAGGTTTCTCAGGTCAGCCTTGGGGCCAGCACTGCTCTGGGCAGAGGGACACCCCACTCCACAGAGGGGCCCCTGTGGGGATCTTCACAGGCAGCCTCCTGCCTGGGGCTAGGGTACCTGGGACATCCCCGCCAAAGAGAGACCTAGCCCTGTCCTTGGTCCAAAGATAAGGATCAGGGCAGCTCTTAGCCACAGCCTGTGACCTGGCTGACCCCGAGTTGGGTGTGAGCCCCAGGGAACCACACAGGGCAGCCACTCTGTACCAGGTGTGCCAGACTCTCCTGGGCACCTCTCTGACCACAGAGTTCCACTCAGGAAGAAGACATGACAGGAGCCACAGTTACTCCGAGGTGTGAGTTGGGGGCCTGGGGTTGCCAGAATCTGAGAGGCTGTCATGGGCCGTTTGGTTCCTGTAGCTCCCAAAGGCAGGCCCAGAGCCAGCCAACCCACCACAGGTAGGTATTTTAAGATGACATAAGAGGGGGCTTTTCTAGCGAGAACATCCAACAGAGAATGGGCTGGCACGTGAAGAAGCGGCACAGAAAGCTGTCCCTGGATGACGCAAGCAGAGGCCGGCAGGCGGCTGCCACGGGGATGGATTCTGGGCTTTGCGGAACACAAGCCGTTCCTCAGCTGGGCCCTGAGGGCCTCGGGAACACCATCATCTCAGGCCCGCCACTCCCACACCTGCACACACTTACAATCTGATTGGAGGAGAGGCGGAGGGACTTCTTGTAGGTAGGAGTGTGGCCTGGAGGCGAGAGGGGCGGGGAGGGGGCCTCCAGAAGGATGGGGCTGTCGGGGGCATCGTCCTCACTGCTCGGGGCTTCGGTCTTCTCCCTGCGGGCCGCCCGGTGCTTGAGCCACTTCCCCCAGCCAAGGCCTTCACTCCTGTAGATGCCCACCCCTCACCCAGGCCGCAAGGAGCCTGCTGCTGGTCTCTGCCCCTCTAAGGACCCCTCCCTTTAGGTGCCACCCATTTTGGGGGTGGCAGCAGACATCAGGATACAGGCCAGTAGTCTACACCCAGAACGGTGACTGCAGAGCTGGAGCAGAGGCCCGGGGCACCCAGGCCCCAGGCCGCTCTCCATGGCTAGGATGCTGGTACCTGCTTTGGGGATGTGCACCAGAAAAATCTAGAATTGCATCGTGGCCAATCCCACCCGCTGTGGGAGGCAGTCAGCCCGTCCTTGATCACCCCCCCACCCAGCCTTGGACATTCTGGGTCACTTCAGACATGAAAAAAGGAAGCAAGGTCAGCTGGGGCCAGCTGGCCCCTGGTGGAGAGAGGAAGTCCTTCTCCACCTTCGTATGGTAGCCCTTTGTCTGGGCTGGGAGTCTGGGTACCCATTCCAGCCCTGCCACTTCCCGGCTGCGAGAACTTTGGTGTATCTAGGCTTTCCCATCTGTGACATGGGGACATGTCCCAGGAGAAGGAAGAGGTGTAGAAGTGATTG